TAATAGAATTACTGACACTTTTATGGGTCAAGTTGTGAGAAAGTCTGTTCTTGGTGTTTATCACTGTTATGTCATGTTTATTTTGGAAATCATGAGTTGCCATTATCTTAGAGATGAAGTTCTTCATCTGGTTTCAGAAGGATGCTTTATCAGTTGCAGGAATCTTGCTGCCTCATGTGCTGGTCTGTTGTCTTTCTGCTGCCCACATGCATAGTTACATCACCATGAAATTTGTTTTGTGGATGTTTGGTGGTTTTAGTAATGCAATGAAATTCCAAATCCACTTTTTGAAAAACTTTCAGGTCATCTCTCTACGAGTTCCTTCCCTTTGGTGCCAAATTTCTCTCTACCTGCCATGATGAATATAAATCTCGCCAAATCTAGTTAATGTAAACAAATCTTTGGATGAATATAAATCAGAGTCATGTTATCTTGCCAAGGTTTGGGGAGATATCTAAATCGGAGTTTTGCTGAGACTTCGTATATCATTAGACAGATAAAGCATGAACTGATTGGGTAGATATCTAAGTTTTGACATATTCTGCGAGCTAATGATAAATATATTGGTGGATATGATCACTCTAATTTTTTCAACATAGTTTTGAGATTGATCTACACTTGTTACCTGACAAAATGTCATGTCTCTGATTTTAAAATTAACTCCACTTGTCAAAATCTGCCAATTACAAATCTAAGCAAAGTCAATCTCAAATATTATCTGAATTACAACATCTGATTGAATAATGAAAACGCAGGGCAGTTACCTAGCCATACACCCATATGTTACAATAGCTCTTGTAATTCTTATTAATAAAAAAAATTAAATAATAAAATCGCTCATAAATCAAAGAAATGTGTTAGCAAATGTGGGCAAACAATATATTTTATTCAGTCTTTTTTTTTTTTTGAGGTTCATATTTTTTTATTAGTAATATAAAATAAAATTTCAATATTATATTCTACTTGATAGTACTTTGGAAGCACATGTTCCATATATTACATACATGTAAAACTTTTTTTTTTCAACAAAGAATTATTCATAATGTAAGCATTCCATACAAACTTTAGAACAGTTACTTTTAATATAATATATATGCAATGCATTTCTTTCAGAAAATTTGAATACAGAGGTAAATAATCAATATAAAAGTCAAATTAAAGGAATATTTGTTAACAAGTGCATTGGTACACATCCATGTTTTATTTTGTGAACAATTTGATATGAAACAACAGATGGCTTAGAATCAATTTAATTTATTGACAATATTGGTTGTAGAATTCAAGGAATTGTTAAGAAAATGGATTCTGCCATTATAGTTACACCTGACATTGCGTATTAGTTATAGACTAATCATCATGGTTGTATGCACGGATAACACGTTTCGTTTGACATTTGGTTTAACGAAAATCATGAATGAATTCTTCACACCTGTCACCCAAATCAAATGTTTTCAACTGTAACATTTTAAAAATGTTCAGATCTAATCAGCCATCTTATAATCTAATCTGCTTCATTACAGAATTTAAACTAACTACAAAATAAGCCAAAAGTCAATGAATTTATTGCTTAGATCCCTAATTATGCCATGAATGGAGATCCAATTTTATACAAATACACTTGAAATAAACACACAGATTAAAAAATCTGCGTTTTCTTTACATGACAAGTGTTGGATTTGTTTATTTTCAAATCAGATAAAATTGAATTCAAAATTTCAAATTTTTTTTCCCATTTTGAAAATCCCACCCCTTATTATATGGTAATTTGAAAATTCTATAAAAAAAAAATTCTAAAGTGACCTCACATTATTTTCTGCTTTCACAATTTTTGAAAAAAGGTTTGTCAAATTTTGAAAAGGAATTGTAATACTTGAATAAATTTGTTCAAAAATAACTTGTAAGTATGGGCTATGTAAAAAGATGGAAAAGAATTATTTATGAAGATCATAAAGAATAAGTGTGGACTATTTGACAGTTTTGACAAATAGCTAACTTATTAAGAATTGTGGCTTTGTATGGCAATTATAAGCATGTTAAACATGAGGCTCAGTAAAGCATTATATTTGTTATTTGATGCTCTACGGTCCTGGGCTGTACGCAACAAAAGATATTTTCATATATTATAGACACTTGTATTTCGTGGCTAGACTTTTTGTCCAAATTTTGAGTTGGTTTCGTATTTTTTAAGTTTTGAATGAAGTTGTTATTTGAGCTTAGTCCTTAACTGAATTTTTTTTAAAATCTCATTTTTTGTGAAAAGCATTCGTTGAGGTAGCCTTTTTAATGCGATATTAAGGAAATACACACAAGAGACTTATGGACGAGTTTAACTAAATGATTTTCTATCTCTACAAATCTAAATATTCAACGGAAGGTGTCGTATTTAAAGATCAAATTGCCGTTTTTAGCATATAGCCTATTCACTCGCACTTGATAATAGTTATGTCTTTTCATATCTCGTTTTTATTTAGTCTATCTCCAACCCCTATCTTAATATAAAACTATTTTCTGTATGACAGCCATAGAAATAGTTTCAAATTTCTTTAGCTATTTTGATTCTTTGACTGTATATTTGGGTGTCATTAAGCCCTTATTTAATACCCTAATCCCAACAATGAGGCTCCGTATAAAATCTGCCAGGGTCAAATTTTCATTTCATATGACAGTATATATATATGAAGTCTAATGGCCATTTAAATATTTCATACCTATGTTGAGCTATTTTTTATTCTTTGATAATCTTTACATTCATTTGATAAACTTCCTAGACTGTTATTTTACATAGCAATAACAATATATATAACAGTATTATAATTGATTGTTTTGTTAGACTATTTTTGAGAGTGCACAATGATTGACAGAAATCAAATTTCTTTCAGAAAGTTATTGTAAAGGTACATGAGTACATTAAATAATATTAAAAAAAAATCAAATCAAATCAAAATGGTTGAACTTGTGTATGATTGAATAACAATGTCATACAAGGTAAAAAATACTATGAAACAACTATGAAGCAATTTAAGCAAAAGCATGTCCTATGGTGTAAGCATAAATTGGATCTTGCTCAGCTGGGAGGCAAGTAACTAATCATTCTGAATATAGATGAAAAAGTGTTTTCTTTCTGCACCATCTTCAGAATTGCTCCCCATGGTCAAAACATCACATGTGGTCTGCTCGCTGTAGGTATTCAGTCTTCTTTCCTTTTAAAAACTGAAATTTTTATTTGAATTTGAAATGATTAATTTGTGAAATATAAAAAGAAGGAGATCTCTTGAGAAATTCCCAATCTACTTATCACCTGTACGAGCTGTGGAATTGAATTAAACATATAATTAAAAGTAAAAAGCAGCCATGTTTTTCAACATCTTGGTGTACAATAGTTAGTGATTAAAATGCATGTTGAAGATACTCTCTATTGTTGGAAGGAAGAAAAAGGAGAAATTCAACCCAGGTTTTAATCGCCATTTTCCTTTATTAATTCGTGTAATTCATTCAGAAATTGTGTGTAGGTTTGTACAATTTGAAGAATACTTATGTATTTATTCCATTCATTAGGTGTGTGTACATTAGTAATTTGCTACATACAATACCTACTTCACAACCACTTGCCATCAGACAAGTTTTTTTTCTTAAAAATTTCGCGGCTCCTCATTGGCACCTTGATGTAAACACCCTTGAAAAAATGAACACAACTTGTAGCACAAAAAATACTTGTATGTAAATGACTTGAAACAGGAGTTTTTGGTGAAGAAGGTCCTTTGACCAGGGACTTGACCAAAGAAAAAAACTACCTGAATGGCTTGAAGAATACTGAGCTGCCAATCAGAAGGATGCAGTATAAAGAAGATCTGAACAATGGCGTATGGGAAAGTGTTTTATTGAGAATACTTCAAATATTTAGCAATAGTGAAGCAAGTCCTTCTCTCGCTTGTAATCTGATCTTCTATTCGAGGAAATTGATATTTTAAGATTTGTATTTCGGATGTTTTTGGAGAGGCTTGTGATTTGCTTTTCTACGTCCCAGCTGTTTGAGCTTACTGTGCTTTTATTCTCACAAGTTGTTTTCAAAATAAACTTCATCCTTAGACTAGCACTTATCCAATCTTTTCTTATTTTCCTTTCAATGCAATTGTTTTTTGAATAGAAAAATAAACCTTAAATACCACATGAATTTCTTTCCATGGACAAGAATTTGGTCATTTGTGACCTAAAATGATATGCATGTTAGGCAAAGTGGTACAATTTTTATCTGCTTATTAGTTCTATGGGTTGTTTACTTTTAAGGTGTGATAACAATAAAAATTTCAAGACATAAAAATGTGATGATTTCAAAACCTAGTTAACTAACAAATAAAACTGAAAAATAAACAGAGGAAATGGATTGCCCGTCTATGGCCCTGTTAATTTTCCATCATTTCAATGTTAGTAGGAATTGAACGCCCTATGTCTTGTCATAATTAGATAAGTTTGACAGAAAGGTTATAATCTCTAATCATAAATAAATCGGCCCTGGTAATTCCACATGAAAAAATATCAAGGCGCTGACATTGAAGATTAATTTGTCTGGAAAGAACAAAACCAAAGTTAGGATATGGAGGGTGTAAAAAAAATCTTACTACCTACTTGAAATTGGTAGTAAAAATATGATTCTTATTAGTTTATACCTATATATAACAAATTCTAAGAATGTAAACTGTCATTTTATTTTGTCACATTGTAACCTGCAACTATGTTAAAAATGTTGCAGAACCCTATGTTGCGAAGAATCCTTATCGTCCTTATGTGACCAACAGTTTCGCACATGCAGTGCTGCAGGTAGGTTAAAGATGTAACACATGTTTACACTATATTAAATACTGTGATCCACATCAATTTCATATAATTATCCCATCTTTATTCTTAAATATATATATTATATTGTTTTACTTATGCTTCAATTTTTATCTTTTCAGCGTCCACCTTCCCATAGTTTGAATTTTAGTCAGCAGGATGACACTCAGTCATCTCGTTCAGGTGACACCCCTATTCCTACTAGTCAACCAAATACTAACTCCTCACATAATGCTGAAAATAATAGTGAATCAGGTAAGCCTTTTTTTTATCTTTTCCAACCATGAGTGACCATTTTGACATTTGCTGACAGAAAACTTCTGTCAAGTTTTCAAATTTTTTTAAATTGAAATATTGTTTCAAAACTCTCTTGATTTATAATCAAATTTTGGTTTTTATTTTCAATCAAATGTCAAATTCTACACTTTTTCCATCAACTTACATAGAACATGCAATACATATTCAAAAGGGGAAACAAGTCATAAGGTTGACCATTATTTTTCTTTTGGAAAGAGCATCATGCCATCTTTTGCATTAATGAATTTTTTTTCTTCATATGACGTCTGAGTGTCATGTCCCTGCCAAAACTAATCTCTGTATCATTGCGTCTGATCTTGGTTATCACAAATTGTGGCAAAAAGACACAAATGTATGTCATCACGCCAGAAAAAATTCAGCCCAAAATAACCATAGACAAAGCAAAACTTGTGGAACCAGAAAAAACTAAGAGAAATTTATACGAGGCACAAATATGTCTGCATAATAGCTATTTGAGGTAGAAATATCTGCATTAGAAAGATTATCACTTAGGGTCATTTAACATTTGGTAAAAGATAGCAATTAGGAATATGGAATGTTTTCACGATATCAGGAAGAATGTGTATTTATCACAAAAAAATGATTAACAGTAAATAATATTCCTACACCAGCCATAACATACATAACTGACAACTTTTAGTCGTCCAATTTTACATTCACTTTACTCATTATAAACAAATTACCTTTATTTATATATGGCGTTAAAAACATAGCTGCTCTCTGGTTTCAGTCCATCACGTTTTTTCACTTGGCGTGTTACGTTAAATACATAAAGCACAAGATGATTGAATATTTTTAAGAAATATTTCTATTTTCAAAAAATTGTTTGTATTTTCAATCGTTAGTATTAATGTTAAGTTAATTATAAAATCTGACGCGGAGGTCCAGAACCTGCGCGTGAAGTTACGCTTATGACTGGAACATCAAACATCATTTCATGAAAAGCCATACAAATGTGTTATCCAGTTGGCAAAATGTTACGACTTGTTTTGTAATAATTTTCCACTGTTTGATTTCGAGGCTTAGATTAGACAAAAGTACATAAACAAATGCCTGACTACATTTGTCATATCCATTATCTAAAACTACCCACCCTGTCATTAAGAAAAAGATTTGGCAAATTATATTCTCATATCGTCCAAGATATCTACCTAGATCGCAAAAACTGTCTGAAAACAATAAACATGATATCTATGGATCAATTGGCGCACATCATCATTCAGATAGTGGAAAAACAGAGTTTCTTACTTCATTGACAAATATCTCTACCTCATCATTAGTTGCACTTGCTTTAGAAGTTTATTGTACTCCTGAGTTTTTACCTTCATACAATTTGACTCAGGCATCTTGCTGCGCTTTTTATTTTCATCATCAGACGTGCTTGTATTGGCTTAAAAGCTTTCAGTAAAATTTGTTTAAAAATGAACTAAAAAACTCAGTCTTTTATGCCTTCAATTTAACATTCTGCTTCTAGATATCAACTTGTTTCCACATCAACAAATCTGTTTTTGTGTGGATTTTTCCTAATATTTTCAATATCTGTTTTAGTGCTTTGATAACTGTCAATTTCCAACACACTTTTCAGTTTTTACTTCTGTCTTTTCAAAACAAATTGATCGTTGAAACGATAACAAGATTCTGGTTGCCGTTCTCAAGACGATTAGAAGTGGAGTGGAAATCTAAAACAAGATAGGTAGACAGAGTCAGCTTACAGACGCCAAAATCTTGTCGAAGCATCTATTACTCAGTAAATGGCTAGTATAATTAACAGTAAAAAAACACTTTGTTTCGGCAGTCAAGGGTAATAACGGAACAGCCAGCAGCCAACCCGCCCTAGTAAATTATGTCAATGGAATTCTAGAGGGAGACTGCTCTATCATTATTATCAAACTTTCAAACATGACAGAATATACAATTTCTTACAATGTCTTTGACAGATGTGGTTCTAGACTATTTTGTGGTTCTAGACTATTTTATCATTCCTATATACTCTATAAGTTACACATGATGTTCATTGATATTCTTAAATTTGTTGGGAACTTCTATGCATATATTTTTGAAGAGTTCAATGTATTCCTTCCTGTAGTTGATGCTCAACATAAACTTATGCATGTGCATTAAAAAGTAGGTCAGCAACAAGATTTATGATGTTCCTCATGCACCATTTAATTCCCAAACTTCATCAATGACTTGAAAAAATCTGAAAAATTTCTATCAGAAGTGAAAAAATATGCTGTAGTTAATTAGAATAGTTTATCTTTTTACAACTTAAGTGATAATTTAACTCTCATAATTTGTAAAATGTTGAAATGTGAAATTGTAATATATCATATTGTCAGACATGGCTGTATCCATTTTCAAAAATAATCATATTTATAATTTTATTGGGTGAGAGAAAATCTGAACCATTTTAATTACAGCCTCTTAAAGAATTACGACTTTTTTTGCATCTTTTAACACATGTATTCAAATTTCAAGTTGGAAAATAAATCTGAAATTTCTTAAATGTTTAAGCCTCCATAACAATTCCACACACTAAAGGCACCATGTCACTTAAATTTCATGGCATATTAAAATCTCTTTCATGTTCAAAGGAATAAAATCAAATGGCATAAAATATTTATTTGTAAAAATCAACATAAATCAAGAATTGATTGATAAAGAATAGATGTGAGTGAGGCGACGACATTAAGTGACGACATACGCCAGGAATATATGTCATGTTTGATACCATAAACAAAGTATTTTATGGGTAAAGGACAATAAAAAAAGATTAGAACATTAGGAATTAATGAAGTTATAGTTAAAATCTTCTCATAAAACAAACCTTTTAAATCATCTTATGTCAGATTTGCTTTCTTGAGAAAATGGCTGGCGAAATTTGAAAAAAAAAAGAACAAATTTGCAAAAAAATATTTATCTTAGTATATGGAAAGATTTTCATGATAAAATTTAAACGTGGCATATCTTTTTAAAATTTAGATTTTGAGAAGAAAAATTTTCTCAAATATCCAAATTTTCTAAGGCATTTCTGAGGGTTAGTCATACAGAATTTCTAAAATTGATTTTCAGGAAAAAACTTTATTGAATGATAATAATTTCCCTGAACGGAATATTACATTAAGTGATCGATATTATAGTCATATTAGATATCGATTTTATCAATAGATTTTATTCTTTATTACAATTTATTGAAAACTAATAAATACTAGAAATATTCACCCAATTTGACCAATGACCTAGTTTTCTTTTCTTGAAAACTTTGCCCAGAGTTTTCTTAAATAGATAAAATATTATTATACTACGCAATTGTAATATACACAAAAACATTAAATATTTTCTTGACCTAAATTTTCTGAATCTGCCAAGATTTTCTCGGAAGAGAAGAATGATAGAATAGTTGGTAGTTCAGCTCATATTGGATTATTTCAAGAGGGTTGGCCATTTAACGACCATATATTGATCGTAACTCTAAGTCTCTGATCCTTTTACTCTCCTTTTAGGAGGGAGGAACAGACTGTAAGGGTCTATAACTCTCATTGTAATATCTCGAAGAAAACCCCCTATAAAATGAGTCATCATTCAGATCATTTCAGCGACTAATGCTGCACGATTGCATGTAATTATCTTTCATAATTTGCCATTTTCAACTTTTCAGGATTTATTTTTTGTGATTCTGATCATTAAATCTGAAGAATAATTAATTGTGAAAAACAGCTTGATTGTTTTCTTGAATTTAAATTGAAATCTGAATTTAAAATTAAAAAAAAAATTATCAATCAAGCTTTAATGTGGTAACTGAAAAGATACATTTCCAAAACTCCTAATGCACGAAATACTTCTACTACTAAAAGCAAAAAACTTTAAAAAAAATTTAATTTTACAGGTTTTCTTGTTATTTTTGAAATTGAAGTAGAAATTTTAATAATTTTGGTTGTTTATATAAAGATCAAGTGAAGAATGTTCACCATTTGTTTCATGTTAAAAGCAGGTTAAAGTCCACATATATATCACCCCTTTAATCACAGTGGGGTGTTATTGCAAATTCATTAGCCTTTAATGAGTTGAAAAGCTCGTTAAGAAAACCAAGTTTATCTTATGCACCACACAGAAAGTTGACTTGTGTGGCAAATTCATTCTTTTTCAACTTTTAGATTTTTATTTTAAATTTGTAATGACATTTGGAAAAGTTTGTTCTCTAATATGAAATACTTATGTTTAACACAAAAACACATTGGCACATAGTTGACAATGTTAAAATACACATAATATGTATGTGTAGCATATTTGAAATAATCTATGCAAACATAAATAATTTTTGTTTGATTTGAATATAGCTGTAAGTTCAGTGCTCGAATATTTAAAAAGAATAATAAACAGCATGAGAATATAAATCATGCGTATCGCGCTTCGGTTTAACAGACCTGCCAATTACTGTATTATATAATGAACTTTGAATCGCAGCGTTTGTCTCTAATGCTCTGCCTAGCAACTTCGATAATAGAAAAAAATCAACACAATATTATTTATTCGTAAAAAAGGGCATTAGAGGTTAACTTTCTTATGATGTTAAATGGCAATTGAAAGACGTATGAATTATTGCCATTGAACTATGTGTGCTTATTGAAGAGTCGAGTGTTATATTCACGTTGGATATTAAATCTTCAGTCTGTGAAGTTAAGAAAGCAACCCCCACCATTCAGAATGGTAACTGATATTTGTTAGTACAGCTAAACATTGCCCATTGTATCTGTAGTTTTAATTCTATTTTGTTAGGCTGGTCTATTGAATTGGGGTGGCGTACAGGCATTTAGTCAGATCTCAAATAAGGTATAATACCTCCATTCATACTGCCCAACCATCTGCTATCATAGTACAAACTCCTAAAAAAAACCTTTCTTACGGCTAACAAATCACAACAAAACATTGACTCCTAA